CGATCAAAGAATATTATGTAATCGTAGATATTTGACAATTTAATATTTAATGTTATTTATTTGCAGAAGTTATTTGGAGAAACAACATGTATATCTGTCTCGGTGTCCGATTCTACATGTTATCACCTCATTTTAAAATCAACATCGATAATTAGATTATACTTATAGGTTCATATGATTGTGCCAAAAGAAAAAAATTTATAGAGATAAATGATAAGGTAAGATAACATTTTAAATATGAAAAAAATAGAAATTTGCTTGAAAAAATAATTCTTGATATCCTTTTCGAGCATACGATCAAAGAAGCGAAACGCAAAGGACGAAAGTTCTTCTGTCGTGGCCAGTGGAGAATGACGCCTGAGATCGTAAAAAGAAATAGGGAGCACCATCTACGAAGTCTTTGCGAGTCATACGAATGTTATTTTCTCTTCTTCCCTCTCTCCCTCTCTCCCTCTCTCTCTCTTTCTCGCTCTCTCTCTTTCTCTCTCTTTCTCTCTCTCTCTCTCTCTCTCTCTCTCTCTCTCTCTCTTTCTACATTGCACTTGAAAACAGCCACTCTTAGGACTTTTTCCACTCGCATTAGTTCCATATTTGTAAGAGAAAATCCCTCTTTCACTTCTTCATCTTTCCATCTTTTCATTCCTTTTTCCACTTCTTTTCGTCGCTTAAAAGATAGCTCGTTAGAGATCCTGTCATTCCTCGCTTGCGAACTACCTAAGTAGTATTTGCCCTGCACTTCTACCCTTCTTGTTCTTTCTGATTTTTAAATTACCTCTTTTCTCGAGATACATCCACACTTTCATTTTTTTCCGTGCTTCTATTTTGCTCGACATTATTAACACATTCAATTTTTATTTTTCGTTTTTCGCACTTCTTATGATCTTGACAAATTATAAATGGGAAAAAAAAAACAAATATGATATCGTAGTAGAAGAATAATATTTTTGTATAAATTTGCTTCACGAAGTATTCACTGAATGAAATCATCTAGTTATTTTCCCATTTTTAGAACTATCTTATAGTTTCTTTTGATATTTTTCTGATAAAAGCACGAGCTATGTTAATTATCGTGTACAATGATAATTTATATTGAGCTCTTCGTTATTTATTTCGTACATTTTCTCACAGTTTTTCTTATATCTTTTTTTTTACGAAAGAAAAATATTTATAGAAGATAATTACCTTAAAAGGTACGGAAGAAGCCACAAAAAAGGAATTTTTCCTCTATCGAGGAAGTCATTCTTCTCTACATCGTCTGAAGGAATAAAATTCGCCGGGGAAACGCCTTCCGAGTCGATATAAAAGAAAGGAAAAAAAGAATCGTGCAACTGGAGAAAACGTAGAAAAAAGAAATAGAAGGAAAGAAAGAAAGAGAGAGAGGGAGATAGATAGAGAGAGAGAGAGAGAGAGAGAGAGAGAGAGAGAGAGAGAGAGAGAGAGAGAGAGGCAACACGAGGTTTACCTAGTCAAATACGAGAATCGAAATCTGTTTTCGTATTCGCAACGCGCTCCCGCTCAAAAGCAATTCCAGACGTCGGGTCGCCTCGTTACGATTGGAATACCGCCAATCTTAGCGGCGCATAAAATTTACGCCATTGAACTATACCGCAGAAAGTCGCTTAAACCAAACGCACCGACTCCGTTCAATTTGTTTCCGTGAACGGATATCCGGTTTGATTAGAAAACTGCAGTCAGAGTTAAATGCATCTTAGAGATACTTATATTTTTCTATTTTCGTATACGTTCCTTATGTTTCTTATATTTAATTTTATTCTTGAAAAAAAGTTTAAAAAATTTTTCTAGTTTCAAAAAAGAATGATTCTGAAAAAATAAAATTAAATATAAAATATGTAAATTAAATGAAATATACGATCTTATCGTCAAATATTTTCTTTTATTCTTGCAAGAATCATTTTATAAGCGACGTTTATTTATGTTTAGAAACGTTTCTCGTTCAAAGAAGAACCTAAGCTTATGAAAGGAGAAAATCGTCGGTGTTGTATATTGGGGCCAGAAAGGGAAAGAAATCCGCTTGATAGTCGCAATCTCGGCACGAATGACTACTTCTTCATAGCGCGAATAAGTGGATATTAGGATGTTAAGATTGAGATAGCTTTCCTCGCGCTTTCATAAAAAAAGAAAAAGAAAAAGAAAAAAATTAGAAAATGAGAGAGAGAAATATTTTATCGTTAGTGTTTACTCAATTTTCCCATGATCTCATTTATTAAATTTCTCTCGAAAGAAAAGCTTATTTAAATTTAATTGTAGCAATGAGGTCGAATTGTTTAATTAACAATTTAATGAAAAGCCAAAGAGGACCTAATATATAAATTACATTATCGCGATATTACAAATAAAACATGAATGTTTTTATTTTACGTTATTCATTTATATTGATAAATGGTACACAGGAGAACAAAGACAATTTATGGAGCTACATAAAGGAAAGGAACCAAAAATAAGATAAAAGAAAAAAAAAACGAAAGAAAAAACTACTTCG